AAGCACACATCTGCTCAGCAAGGGTGCATGATGGGATACAACAGTTGACATCTAACCCGAAGGGAGGCACGTGGTTACAGGATCCGGCACAGCAGGAGGAAGTGTACTGAACCCTCTGGAAAGACAACCCGGGTGCAACACGGTGCCCGTTGTTAGGCTATGTTGTTAGGAGGCTGAAGACCATTGAGAATAAAATTAGGAATACAGCTAAAATCAGAGCTGACTTGTGCTTTGGCCAGTGACTTAAACACCAGTTACCCTACGACTAAGGTAGGACTACATAGGTCGGTGCTACACCAAGGGCTAGTGAGAGGGAGCAGCACAGACCAGGAAACCCAGCAAGCATCTGAGTGGAAAGCCTCAACACTTCTGCACCTCAAGCAGGCAGTAATCTAGAGACAAGGAAAGCCAGGCCCATCCAGGCACATGCCACGACAGACACCTTGGACTGAATCACCACTCACACTTGAGATACAATCTAGAGTTAAGAAACTCACAGGTTTTAGCCAAGCCACCACTAGGTTGCTGAGACACTAGAGTAAGCCTCATCTTGGGAGAAAGTCTTTGAAGGCAGAGGGTGAGGAATAACAACAAAATGCATCGAAATCTCCCTGTACCCCACAGCCTGCAGAGGGGTGGATCCAGTGACAGGACAGAGATCAGCAACTTCAGCTCTCGCCAGAAGGAAAATGAAAAGCAGCTCTGGGTTTTTTGCCCAGCTCAGTGCTCAAGCCTGGTCAATGAACATCAGGAGAAAAAGACCTGATAGCAGAAGTTTGCATCTGGAGGATTCATGTAGGTCCTATTAAAGCAGCTGAACAAAACCCCATCCAAACTCTAGTGGAGGAGCTCTACCATGCTGCAGGAACAGGCTGTAGCTCCTCTCTAAAGATTAATCCTGGCACAGCTCTTTTGTTGAAAATCCCAAAGCATAATTCTGACTGAAAAAGAGATATGCTTGAAAGATGACAGAGCAGCTCACAGTCCTAGAGAAATGCATGTGAGAACTTAAAACACATTCAAGTTCTGCACCTGCACCTCAACATCTCCCTGTACTGGTACTGCTGTAGGTGACAGCACCCAGGGGAGCTCCCTGTGTCCCCACGTGGGTGGCACTCAGCAGGGCAGGAACTCTCATGTTTGTTCCTGCCAGCTTAATGCTGCTGACACGATGGCATTCAACATGTGTAAGTCTGGGCCAAAGTGCTTTGACCCCTGGCTCAGCCCCTCAGGGACAGCAACAATGCAGAGCTGAGGCAGTCAGTCAATGCCTACCAATACTTTAAACACTGCTCTTCACACAGGAAAAACCCTCACCCAGTTAATCATCCAGTTCCTCCCAGACACTAAAAGGTGCTTCACTGCAAGGACAGTTAAATTAAAAGCAATGAATCACACACCCCAAAGCTGGTTAACAGCTATGTACACCAAAATAGCATCATTCCCAGAGAAATGTGATCAGCAAATCACACCTTAAAACTCATTGTGGCATTTTTTTTTTTCCCTGGCAAGCCCACCATCTCAAAGGCAATAGAAGAATTCAGAGATTGGTCCTTTCAGGGGGAGTTTGGGAAGGGCCACAGTAGACAGGACTACACACCAGCACAGAGAGGAACTCAGACTTGTGAAATGCTACAGACATTAGATCTTCTGACACACCACACACAGGGCAAAAAATCAACAGGAACTTTTAAGTGCAGAATTCCAGCAAGTCCAGCATCTGCAAGATGCAAACAGTAAACTGCAAGGTAATTCAGGTATTATTCCAGGGAAGGTCAGGGATGGTTCAGGCAGCTGCCCACAAGTATTTCAGCTGGAGAAAAGAATTCAGGAGGGCTCTCCTCCTCACTAAAACTGGTACCAGGGTCACAAGCCACCACCAGCCACAAGCTGGTCACCCTCTAAGCAGGGCTGTTTCACCCTGTGCTCATCAGGAGCAAAGTGCCTACCCTGCAGGGAAAGGCTCTGCTGGGTTACAGGTTTGGACACCCCTGGGAAACAAGTCACTGCCAACCCCACACCAGCAGCTGTGCAGTGTCTGCCTGAGCACTGCAGCCACATGACCAAAGCGTGCTCTGGGGGGAGCAGCGATGCTCCTGGCCCAGTGCTTTTTCCCCAAAAGCACATGGCTGTTGTCCCTGACAGTGGGAAAGACCTTCTCCTGGCCAGTCAAGTCTGATGACTGATTAAGCCCTTTCCATACAGGATCTCAGATTGCCTCAGGCCCTTTGTGTAACCTATGAAGGACCAAAAGTGTCAGTGCTTCTAATCTACAAGTCTAATGGGTTAATGCAAAACCAAAACGCACATCACAGAAAAGCCAAGCATGGGACCTACAACAGACAAATATTTGTTCTTATAAGACTCGCAGGGCAGGAGTCCTGCTGAGACAAAGAATACTGCGTGCTGTAGCACTCCTTTCCAAAAACATCACCTAAAGATGCTTACATATTACAGATGATTTGGCATCAGAGCTAGGGAGCATCAGTGCCAGCACAGGGTATGTGCTAGAAAGATGACTCCACATGGCAGGGTTTTCACATCACCTCAGGCTACAAAGTGCTTACAGGTTGTGTGGGGACTGAGGCTGCCACTGCTCTGACCTGCTATCCACCACCAGTCCCAGCCCACCCCAGGCATACAAGCAAGCTCAGCTCCCCACAGGCATTGTCACCCACCTCTCATTGCCTCAGCACAGATGTCTGTGCCAGGTCAGCTGGATGACTCTGCTTGGCTCACGGTGACAGGGCAACCCCATAGGCTCAGCAGATCCAATTTCACAGCCTCCCTCTGCTCTATGTGATGAGAGGACTCAAAAGTCCTCCTGGTCTGCTTTAGAGAGGATGCTGTTTTTGCTTCTTTATTTATTATAGATATCAACAAAAAGCGGGGAAGCCTTCCTCCTCTTCTTCCTCCCCAGCACTGGAGTTATAGGAAAGCTTAACAGAGAAACTCTCTCCCTAGAGCCAAGTCCAGTGCTAAGGCCAAGACTTTGATCTCACTGCAAATCACTGAAGAGAGCTTGCCAAGGTCTGCTCGGCCTGCCGGGCTCCCACCGTCACCGCTCCTGCCACGCGAGCGCCCACCAGGGCAGAGCCACACGCCCCCTGCACATGAGCAAGCACAACACACACACAGGCACACGCTGAAAGCCATCCCGGCCTCCTCGGCACATCACAAAGCAGCAGTAAAGGTTTCAAAGCCCATTCAAGTCCTTCGCATCTCTCCTTCACAGATGACTCGAAAGCAGGGCTAGGAAGATCTTTTGCACATTCAACTTTAAAACATGTGAGGAAGAGGAGCAAGACAACTCTCCTGATTGTTGCTACTGCCTACAGCAAGTTTTGGTACAGATATCCTCTCTTATAGGCACTCAGTGGGTAAAACGTAGCCACAACAAACTTGCCATCAAAAATCTTTCCAGTCAGCATTTTTTGGGCAGCTTTGGAATCACCAGCATTTGCATATTCAACAAAGACCTGAAAGAGAGAGAGGAGAAACAGGACTTCCAGTGCTCCATGCCACTCACTCCCTCCCACCCCGCAGCTGGGAAAACCATCCCTGAACAAATTCTTCCCCTCCATCCTTGGCTGAGCACAGAGCATTGGAGCTAAAAAGGAAAGAGCTGCTTCTCTGAATTGGAATTTCACCTCCTACTCCTCATTTGGTAAGGTGGGAGAAAGTATGATAATGCTCTACATCCTCAACATTTCCTCTCCCACCCATTAGCTTCTACACTTCCATCTCATATCCCAGCCCCCCTGCTAAAGCTGTTTGGGCAACCTTATGTAACTAGGAAGGAACCTGTGCTGTCCTTCAAAATAGCCATTTATTTTTAGCACTTCCATCAGCCACTGAGCAGCAGTCCTGCAGCACATGGAGTGCATGTAGGAATACACAGCCTCTTCCCTCCATTCACTTACTTGGCCTTTACCAGGATTCTCCTTTGGAATAAGCAAGGAAACCACCGGTCCATACTTCTGACACTCCTCCCTTATGTCTTCCAGGATATCTAAGAAAGGAAAGAGTTGGTTGTCTTTCACTTGCAAACTAGGACGAGCCAAGAAACAAATGAAGGCGAGATAACACATCAAGAACACTTAGTCAACACATAGCTTTTTCTTCTCAATTTAAAATAAACAAGCATGAAGTGCCACAGCAGAAGCTTATGCTGCTTAATGGCCACGTAATGAGATGGAAGTGTCTGAACTGAGGCTCAGGAACACAGACCTGCAGGCAGTGAACCTCCATGAGCAGGGTTTGAAGCACATGAACAGTGCTCTTCCTTGCACACAAAGACTGGCCTTCCAGTAGCTAAAACATTTGGGATTTACGAGTGCCTGCTATGGCACTGGGAGGAGGGGAACTAAAGTAGCTGCCACAAGCCCTTCTTTGTGTGAGCAGAACCTGGCCTTTAAACTTGTATTCCCAGAGCTCTCTAGCTTTTGCCACTCACATGGATTTGACAGCAAGCAGAAATGCAAATTCCACCAACATGCCTGGCCATCTACCACAGTTTAAGAACTCCAATGAGATATTTCAGTTCTCTGCTGAGATCTTGGATAAGTTCATTAGCAATTTTTTAAGGATGTGTGCTACTGAACTCCAGAGTCCTGTACATGTCCAGTGGAAGCTCAGAGCTACAAACACACAAAGAAGTCTGCAGGCATTTAAACAAAGAAGAAAATAAAAATAAACTTTTTGTTTGTTTGTTTTTAAATTTGGGATCCTTCAAGAAATTCCTACAATCTCTGCTTTCTCTCTCAGTCTTTTAGTCTATTCTCTGTTGGTGCAGTTGAACCACTTGGTACCAAATCTCAGCCGAGCAGCTCTTTGTTTACTGTTCTTGAGCCTATTAATTGCTCACCTGCTTGCTCTCACATCCCCAGAGGCAAACAAAACAGAGTCTGTAAGACAACATTGCTACATGGGAACTGCATGGCTTGCACCAACCTTCATATTCTTCTTCGCACTGCAGAGAAGCATCACTTAGAACATTTAGCAGCCTCAGCACAGGCGTGGGGAGCATCACCAAATCTTCGATATGGGGAGCTGTTTGGCATCCAAAGAATTAAAGAAAAGAAATCAAAGGAAAAGAAAACAGGAAGTTGACTCAAAATGCATTATGATACACAAGCACTCACTGCTCCTTGCAGTACAGTTCTGCTTCTCTGCTCCATTACCTGCATTTACAGTCTGTATTCTCTGTTTCCAACTTATCTTCACCTGTGCACTGAGAGACTCTTCCAATGGGTTCAGTGCACTCTGCAATTATTCTGAGGCCAGCACCTGAAATTGCTCTTTAAATGAAGACTAGAGTTGTGTCTACTTAGCTCAGTCTCAGAAATTGATGTGACCTCAAGAGCTACGCTCGTTGAACAAACTACCCCATATATGTGGAGATGTGAGAAGATGAAAGAACTACTCTGCAACTCGCCTCTCCTGTTACTGCTAACAGACAAGCTGAAAAAAGGCTGGCCAGCTTCTGTAACTCCAATTCTTAAATCATACTAAGGCACAGGCCTCAGATCTCCCTAGAATATCTTTCCCTGAACACCATGTAAACCTACCCTCTTCAAAAACCAACTGCAATCCACTGCTTTGAAGACCACCATACAATCTTGCAACAGAAGTGGGGAAAACTATTTGGTTATTTAAATAATGCAGTGCTGTAGAATCAGGCATGGCCACAAGGTGGGGGAGCAGTGATCCTGTGAACAACTTCATAGGAGCAGAAATAAAACACTTAGGGCACTTGGCTCTAGAAGACAAGCAGCCCAGAACAGTGTAGTATAGATACCACTGTGGGAGAAGGAAACAGTCAAGGTGGAAAGGCTAATGGCAAAAATGAGGATATCCTCTATAAACTCAAAGCTGCAGGGACAGTGTCACTTCTCCAAGAAAAAAAGCTTGATTTCGCAGTTCCTGGGCAGAACTGGCAGGCCACTCATGAATTTAAGATCTGGAAGCCCAACTTGCAGTACTTAGAGAGTGTTAATGTGTTTATTTGTTTTGGCAGCTACAGCAGCTGAACACAATAGCAGTACTTCAAAGCTCTCCCACTTGACAGTGAGAGGGGACAGAAAAGGGAAATGGCTTCAATTCTCCAGCCTGAGCCTTCTAACCACGTTTGGGAAGTGGGCTATTATTTCCTAGGAAATACTTTTCCAAGCTAAGCACATAATGCATATGAGGGAGCTGACATCTTCACTAGGCCCAGACAGAAGATGTTGATCTCATAGTCCAAGAAAAGATGCAAGGCAAGCACAGACGTTGTAAATCTCCTCCTGCCTGACAAGGAAAAGCCCTTGTGAAAAGCTTAGAGTATGAAAGGCCTTACAGTCTAGACGATGCCAGCAATCACTCAGGGCAGCCCTTTGAAGAAAAGTGCTGCCTTCAGATAACCAGGCATATTCCAGTTCCAAGTGAACTTTGAGGACCATTCTTCCACAGGACTATTTTCAACCAAGAGACAGCAGATGAACTGGAGACTGAAAGAACATCTAAGTGTCACCTTGGTCTTACATGCTGCCCCTTTTATTCACAAAATCATTTAGTATGGAAATGACCTGTAAGATCAAGTCCCACACAGCACTACCAAGTTCACCACCAAATGTCCCCAGTCCACCACCAAATGCCACATCTATACTTCTTTTAAATACCTCTGGGAATAGTGACTCTACCACTTCCCTGGACAGCCTGTTCCAATGCTTGACAACCTTTTCAGTGAAGAAAATTTTCCTAATATCCAATTTAAACCTCCTGTGGTACAACTTGAGGCCATTTCTTCTTGTCCTGTCACTTGCTACCCAGAAGAAGAAACAGACACTAAAGTAAATTTGTCCTTCATTTCATATGTCTTTTTTCAGAGGGGGAAACAAAGCAATACTTAGAATTCAGAGCCATCTGGTATTCTTGTACCCAAGTGACAAACACATTTCTTGCAATACTCTTCTGCTTTAGGAGGTACTTTCTACCCAGTCCCTCTGCTCCTCTTCAAATGCCAGGTGACAGCAACCACACTGACAACACAGGAAAGGAGCTGATGAACTGGAAAGTCAAGACTTGGCTGTAAATGACAAGGAAAGCCATTCTTATCTGTCTTTGCTCTAAACAGAAAAGCTGTGTCCAAGTGAAAGGCAATGACAGATCATTTTCTGACTTGCTAGGAAAGCAACAGTAAATGGTTCTTTGTGCAGACAAGCATAAGCACAAGTTTGGCAAAGAAAAGAACCAGCAAAGAGAACTAAGAAAAATGGAAGCTCTCATATAAACTCATAGCACTAACCACAGAAGCACCTTCCTCAGTACAATTAGAAGTCTGTGTGTTTAAAACTAGATCAGAAAGCACTGCCAATACACTGTTCCCTCTGCTCTAAAGCACTACTGGCTGCAAGGTTCAGCCATGGAAGGCAGCTTTGATTACAACAGTCCCAGTTTCTGAGATGCAAGTGAAGTTTGAAAACAGGAATGAGTTGTTACCTTTGCCTAATACCCAGAAATATCAGTATCTATAAGAAGCAACACTTAGTGATCTTTACTGCAAGATACAGCAAGGAGCTTAAGAAAAGCAGGGCTAAGGTTCCAGGGGAACTCCTAGCCCAGCCAGAAGCTGGATGCCTGAAGCATTAATTTATGCTGCAGAAAAGCTGGATGCAGAGCTCTTCACTGGTGTTCTTGAAAGAAGACAAGCTCCGGAGAATGCTACTGTGTTGCTTTTGGAACAGAAAACAGGGAGATCTCAGCCCACCTTTTGCTGACCACCTGCAACCCACATGGGGAGGTTCTGAGGAAACACCTCTATTTCACTAAATTTAAGGGTCAGATGAAAGTGACAGTGACATCTGTCCGTGACCTGCCACACAGGCACCAGAACAGGCAGGCCAGTCACTGCAAAAAAGACTCGCACCTTGAGAACACACTGGGACTGTCTGACCTATGCAGAGGCAGCAGCACATGCCACCACCAGTCACTGCCTTAGTCACTCACATTCCTGGCTATTTCTCAACTGGGAAACGCTTGGCATAAGAAAACCCATCCACTCACCATAAATAGCATTTCACTCTTCAAAAGCACCTCAATGGTCACAATATTAGGTAAATATCTTGGTTATTTCTGTCCCCTCAGATGAATTCTGCTGCCAATACCCTCTTAGTCAGAATTTAATGGGAGTCCAACCAGGGAATAGTGACAGCCCACGGGGCTGGAGAGGCAGGGCAGCACTGAGAGCACAGGCATCACTCTGACCTGCCTGCTGCGGTACCATGGAGGGCTGGGAAGAGCCACAGAGCAGCAGCAATGAGGCCTGAACCAGAAACAACAGCTGAACTGGACTCTGCGCTGCTTCCAGCACATGCTGAGAGCCGTGAGCAGGAGCGACACACACAGCTTACCAAAGGGAATGCTGAAGAACGGGCTGCATAAAGCCTTCTCAGCGGAGGCTCGCTTGCCTTGGTCACAATGAAGCATGCTGGAAGAGAAGACACACTTATGTACTTGCATGGGACATTCCTGCACAGACAAATTGCACTCAGTGGAAGCCAGCCCAGAGGAGTACCATATTTTTGGGGTGGTTATGGTACAAAGAGAAGAGTGAGAAGCACACCTTCCAACCCACAGCTGAAGCACACCAGAAGGATCCCCTGAAAGCATTTTGGGTATATGGCAGAGCAGGTTTTCCTTCTTGATGTCTCTCAGCACCAGAAAATGGAAGTTGCTCACTTACAAGTTTACAGGGAACACAGCATGTTCCAGCTTGACCTCCCCAGGCCATTCAGCCCACATCTCAGGCATGCATGCAGTCTCATGAAAGTTATCACACTCCAAGGTGCTCCCACATCTTTCCACAAATGGGATTCAAAGCAGCTAATAGCCCAGGGCTTGCCTGAGAACATGCCCTACTCAGCTTTACCAGTGGCTCCCAATACTATTTCTGCCCAGTTGTGTCCTCATTCACTCTGTAGCCTCAGAACACAGTCACAGAACAGCGAAAACAATCCCCTTGGCAGACTTCTCAGCAGAGTTTCACAAGTGCATTTGAATCCTGAGAGCAGCAGACAGCAGCACTTTTTGCCCCTCTCCCTCGTTTCTGACAACACTCCCCCAAAGCAGCAAGGTCTTCAGTATTCTCCAAATATAACCTCTTGGCTTTAAGTGCTAAGCACTGAAAGAGCAAATGATCAACATCATGACTGATACTCTTTACATACTAACTCCAAACTGTGCCAAAATCAGAGAAACCAAAACATCTCTGATAATGCTTGCGCTCCTTATGAGTACAGTGGGAGATTTAAAAAAAAAAAGAAAGTGTTAAGTGTAGGCTCTAAGTTGCCAAGAGCAAGGCTACAGGCTTGACTTTACAGAGCACATCTTTAAGCACCAGTAGGCAAATATGATAAGATACCTTTTGATAAGGTCTCTGAGGTGATAAGCTGGAATGGCTGAATTAACCACCCCTTCACTGGCAAATATACGATCAATGATGGCAGAACTGTTTGTCTGTAAAGAAAAAGAAACAGTGATTAGGGAGGTAAAAACCAGACCAGTGCAAAGCTTGCAATATCCCACCATTTTCTGAACTGGATGGCAGAAGGCTGTAGTACTGTGGGGTTTTGTGAGACATCCCCAATGCCCAAGCCTCACATGTTAAACTAGCAGGCTCACATCAAATGAAGCTTTTCTCATTTGCCTGTGCAAAAGCTGGAAATTTCCATATGCAGGAAAATTTGCTGTGACTGTGGAGGTTATGATGCTGAAAGGATATTCTTACTGGGAAGGGTAACATAAAACAAGGTTATTTCATACAAAACAGAGGACAAGCTCACAACACAGAGACTTCCTCTTGTTTTCTCAGGATATAGACTTACAAAAAGATCCCCAAATTAAACTAAAATCAGCAAATAATTCCTCTGTCATTGTGCTGTTGAACTAGCTGACAAACATCAGTCATTGATTTTTTTCTTCCTCCTGTGCCACAACAACCAGGACAACTTGCCTACCAAATCTAGGCAAGACACAGGCTCCAAATACAGACTCCTGGAACCCTCACCTTTCAGTAACCTGAACACAGGCAGCATTCAGAGATGCCAGTCCCACAGGACAGGTGTGTCTTTAAGGCTCTGGAACCTTAATCCTCAAAGCAATAGGATTAGAGAAACATCCTGGAAACACTATCCAGTTGCCAGGTGCTACCTCACAAATCCAGGTTATGAACAAGGACTTGTTTGGTGCAAGCAAGAATGCTCTCAGCAGCTCTCTCTCACTCACCTTCCATTCCTGAGATTGGACTGTATGTTTCAGTTTCATTCCTGAGAACATTTCCAGTAAAACAATTCCCAGACTCCACAGATCCACAGCAGAGGTACATTCTGTCTCACTCTGGAGCCCTGCCTGTGCCAGGCAGTTCTGCAGTTCTGCCTCTGGAGCCCGATACCCGTCTGTTTGAATATATTTCACATCCTACGGGAGACCAAACACACAGAAAAAGTTAATTTTCCAGAATCATGTTCTCCACTCTATCCTTAAATCATTTCACAGCTATCCTTCCAAATGGGGCCCCGAAATACTACTGCCAAGTTGACAGAGAGCATTGTACAGCCTTGTGCAAGGCAGGGAGTTCAACTCTCTATACTGCTGTGCCGAGGAAAAAACAAGACTATCTGGAAAAGAAAACATCTCCCAGCAAAACAGCAGGCATCCCACTAACATCTGCCCTCTCTGAAAAACAGCACTGCTGGGAGGAAGAGGCTGGATGTCATTGCAGACTGGCCCTTTAGCCTCTCCTAAGCACAGAAGACGCTAGAAATTTCAGGATAAGAGTCGAACACCCACACTGCGCTCCCACATCGGCTGCGTGAGAGCACAAACAGCCCTATCTGAGCAGCGAGGATCAGTAACTGCTGCCATCATTCAAGTGCTGATGTTCTCTGGAACAAAATGTTAAAAGAACGAAGCAGGCACCTAATGCTCAGACAAGGAAATTATCAAAGGCACTTCCCACACACCTCTTCCTTCTCCCCCTCACAGCCTCAAGTGCTGCAGCAATCAATACCTGCCCAGCTGCCGTGGCTGGCACAGCAGAAGAAAATGCCCATACACTGCCTGCTTCAAAGAAAACAGGAAATTGTAGAACCACACAAGTGCTGGCTGGAGGGGCTGCTCTGAAGGCTCCAGTCCAGCCTCGCGCTCTCAGGCAATACCCGGTCAGTCAGCTGTGGCTTTGTCCAGCCAAGTGTACAAAGACAAACTGCATGCTGCGTCTTTTTAACATGGGAGGGCTTGTTTTACACTCAGAGAATGACAGAAGAATATGCAAGCTTACTTCCTGGATAAGGCACAGGATTGGGAATTCCTACCAGGATAATACAGTCAAACCAAGATTATCTGGTTCTCTGACTGAAAATACACTTTACGGAAAACATTTTCCAGCAACAGAGCTCAAAAGTGGTTTACGAACTCTAAAAAAAATAAATAAAAAATACACAAATTGCTCATCAGTGTCCCTCCTCCTATCAGCAAGGAGCAGAACCTCCAGCATGGCAAAAGCAGCAATTTGGCAGCCCCACCAAAAAACATTCGGAGATAAAGAAAACACCATGGTCAATGGCACCAGGGAAAAGAGCGAGATGGAATGTCACTCCTACAACCTAAAGCATTTTGAGAGCTGCAAGTGGTTGAGACCTTGCTGTATGTACAGCCATTCTCTGTTAAAACAGTAATGGCAGGAAACTTGACATAAGGATAAGCTTGGCAGGACTGTCATACATAAAAGTAGCATGGTCTTTGACTCAGATAAGGAAATCATGCATGTAGGCTGCTGCCCGAGGCAGGGGTGGGAGGAGACGCTGATACCTGGTGCACATGCAAAGCAGGGTCAGACAGTTCACCCCACGCAGCCACTGTGTTTGTGAGAAAGGGCAAAGGAAACTCAGCCCAAAGAAAGCAGATTGGAAGGAACCATGGAAGCAAATAAAACAACTGATTACCTATTACAAAGCAACTCACAGAGCAAGCAGCAAAACACAGACCTGAATTAAATAAAAATATGTGTATTAGACACAGGACACCAGGAGCATGTATTTTGCTGATAGACAGCAACAGATTACCAACACAAACTCAGCCAAGAACGTGGGAGAACTGAAGACAACATGGAGGAATTAAGAAGCCCAAACATTAAAAACAGCTCCTGTACCAAAGAATTCAGACAGGTCATCCACACAACCCTCTGATATTCACAATCAGTGAGCTGTACTGTTAATACCAGGTAAACCAGTATAAAAAAAGTCTATTAATTTAAAACCTCTAAAAGAGAAGCGTGCATGGAATGGGGACAAGCCAGGACAAAGTTTGAACAAAAAAATTAAAGCTCGCTTACTGGACTTACCATCCATCACCCAATGATCACAGGCAAATGTTCTATGAGGCTACCTGATGGAAAAGCTTTACTGAGAGAGGGAGGGGTGAAAGGAAGCTCTCTCAAGCCCACAGCAGAACCTCCCGAGGCTCTCTGCTTCCATGAGAAGCCATGGAAGAGAATAAAATGGACAAGAACTAACTTAGAAAACTCAGTATCACCAAAACGAAAAAGTGACAGCAAGAAGACAGAGAAAGCTCAGCAAATGAGAGAAGCAGAGTAGAACAGGCAGAGATTGTCCATGTCAGTAAAGAACAGACACTGCCCACCCACAACCAGAGCATGGGCTCGAAAGAAACTGTCAGAGATAACACAATTGATTGGGGAAGCTAATGGTGAAGCCTGGACTCCTACTACCCACGATAAGGGATGATAAAAGCAAATTCTGCATTTCTGGGTGCTCCCACTGGTCTGACCATGCAAAAACTAGCAAACTTCCCAAGAAGCTGAGACACCACTTTTCTCAGTGCATCATTAACTCTGGAATTTGTAGCACAAAGGCTAAGCCATCAGCAGAAACCAGAGACATGCAAGGAGATGGGAACATGAGCTTCTGTTTCTGGGGCCAGACAACATTTTAGCCTTTTCCAGGCTAACCCTCAGCACCAGCTCAGCTACTCTGATCAGGTCACGTCAAGTCTTACACTCATGACCTGAAAGCATCACAGAGCCACACAACACAGAGCCATCTGCTTCAAGAGTAGCACATTCCAAACCTGATTCCCCTCTTTGAAGCTAAGTCCAAAGTCAATGAGCTTAAAGCACTCCTCCTCTGCGCTCCACAGGATGTTGCGTGGCTTGAGGTCTGCGTGCACGTAGCCTTTGTGGTGCAGGAAAGCCAGGGCCTCCAGAACATCTCGGGCGCAGTGCTGGATCATCCACATGGAGCAGCCCTGGTTGCTGGAGTGCAGCAGCAGCTCGGACACACTGATGTCCAGCAGCTCCAGCAGCAGGCAGCGAGACGGGCCGTTGGCAGAGTAGTGGTTGGTGAACACGCCGTACAGAGTCACTGCAGTGAGACACAGCGACAGGCATCAATCATCCCCTTCCATCGGTCATCCCCTTCCACCGCTGCACACCACCACAGCTGCAGGGGGCAGCCCAGCTGTTTTGTAACGGGTGATGTTCAGAGGGATGGAGAATCATGCTTCGGAGGGAAGCAGCAAGGGAAAACCAGCACTGTCACCTCTAGGGGCTTCAGAGGACAGGCCAGTCTCACAACACCCCACCAGGCTTTGCTAAAGAGACAAGGCTGGGTGCTCCTGCTCAGGACAATCTGGGACATGGATAAGCAGGGGGGCAAACTGGATGTAGCACCACTCTTTTTGAGACATGCTAATCTCTTTCCTGTGATGAATCTTGCACAGTGGGACCCAAGCTCTGTCTGGGTGTCCAGGCACACTATGGCATTAAAAAATATTTCGTACCAACAAAAAAATAGCATCAGTGGGTGAACTAGGGCGCTTCCAGCAGCCACCTCAAATACACAGGCTTCCTCCCTTCCCAAGCTCATTCCCACCTGTGGAGGCAGCCCAGGAGCTCCAGCCCAGACCAGGCAGGCCAGCAGGCACACACTGTCCCACTGCTGCCCCACAGGCAGCATGGCTCTTGCCAGGGCAGCTCTGGCACCCTGCCCAAAGGAGGACTCAGGGGTGCCCTGCCTGCAGTGACCCTCTCTGCCCACACGAAGGGTGATGCCTGTCTCCCCTGCCCACCCTGGGGACATCCATCCCCTGCACACCCCGTGTCCAGGTTGAGGTACCAGGAGCACCCACCACAGCGAGGCTGCTTTGGGGCACCCAGGCTGAGGGCCCTCAAACCTGCCCACCCAGGGGTGCCAACCCAAAAAACAAAATGCCCTGCCAGCGGGGGTGGGCTTGGGGGCGAGGATGTCCGTATTCCCAAAGGAGTTGGGGGTTCCCCTCCCTGGCTGGAGGGGTTGGCTTGGGGGTTTGCCCTGGGTGGGCAGAGGTGGGGGCTATAAGGACAGAGGGTGCCCGCGAGGGTCCCCGAGAAGAGGCGTTTGGCGATCCGAGGGAGGATCGGGGGGTGCCCGGGCTGCGGGGCGGGGGGTCGAGGGGCGGGGGATGTCGGGTGCCGGGGTTGGGGTGCCGGGGCGTGGGGATTGCCGAGTGCGGGGATTGGGGTGCCCGGGTCGCGGTGCCGGGGCTGTTACCGATGTTGCGGTGCCCGCGGAGCTGCTCGAGCGCGGCGCGCTCCTTGCGGAACCCGTACTCGGCGCAGTCGGCGGCGGGCGGGCGGGCGCCGGGGCGGCGAGCGGGGCCGGGCCGCGGCCCCGGGGGCGGCACGAACTCCTTGACGGCGCCGGGGGGGGCCCGCGGGTCCCCGCAGCAGCGCACCCGGTACACCGAGGCCGAGGAGCCGCTGCCCAGCGGCGCCTGCACCTCCCACAGCCGGCCCAGCGCCTCCAGCAGCGGCGGCGCCGCGCCCCACGCGCACCCCGACATGGCTCCGCGCCGCCTCACATCGCCATCCCGCCGCCGCCGCTCCGCCGCTGCCCCGCGGGCCGCCCCGGCCCCGTCCCCGGCCGCGGCCGCGCTCCGGCCGCCATGGCACCGGAAACGGGGCGGCACCGCCGGCGGCACCGCCCCCAGCGGGGCGGGGCAGGGGGCGCGGCCCGTCCGCCCGGAACGGGCTGGGCCCCTCAGCAGCCCCTGCACGGGCCGGGGTCTGGGCCCCTCGGCCGGGGCACAGGCGGTCTCCAGCACCCTAAGTAGCTCCTCACAGACCCTCAGTACCCCCGGAGTGCCGTCCCTGCAGCCCTCAGCACTCCCGGGGTCTGGTCCCCTCAGACCGGGTACAAGCGGGCTCCAGCATCCTCAGTACCCCCCGGCTCACATCTCCTCATCCCAGACACCAGCTAGGGCTCCCGTCCTCTCAATGCCAAGCACAGCAGGGCAGCCACGTTCCCCTCTCAGCCCGGGCACCGCCAAACTCCCCCAACGCCCCCCGGCTCTCCACCGGACCGGTCTCCCGGGATAGTGATCTCCTGTGCAGGTGCCAGGCTGGTGCAGGGGGTCCCTGCCCATCAAGGGACTGCCACATGTCAGTGGGTAAGAAAGAAAAAAAAATTTATTGTGCAATCTGTATCTTTTGTCCCAAGCAACACACACCTCCTGACAACATAAATAGAAGTACTGGACCGGCGGTGAGTGTGATGACCCTTCCATTAAGGGGAAGGTTCCTTTGGGATCGCAGCAATGGAAGATGCTGGTTCCTCAGAGAAGGGCTACAAGGCCTGGTTTCCATCAACACCTACAGTGTAGCACAGGTCTGGGCAGCACACAAATACACATACACAGATTCCTGTTTGGGATGGCACCTGCCATGCACAGTGTGATCACATTGAACACACCTGAGCACCAGCCACAGGCTCTGTGCATTTCTGTATCCCCTTTGCTCCTGAGCAGGGCTTTCCCAGGGCCGAGCTTCAGAACCCCAGCATCATCATGGCACCACCATGACAACAGCAAGGAGATGGGTGGCTGCTCCCAAGGCAAAGGGATCACAAATGCTCACAGCCTCCTTCAGTGGTACAACCTGGCTTCGGGTGGTAGAAGATATTTCTTCAGTCCAGCCACTCTGCATGGCCCAGAAGGAGCTGCAAGCAGAAGTGCCCACCTATGAGCTCCTTGCCTCCTCCAGCCCAAATCTGGGCTTTGGAGCTTTTCTTCTCAAAGCCACTTTTGTGGTAAAGGTATACATAAAAGCTCCAAGCAAAAAGTTCCATCTCATAACTGCTTCCTTGCACTGGCCCTGGGGTCCACAGGCTGGCTAACCCTCCTGTAATCCATGGGGTAACACTCATAGAGCAGTATCAGAGAACCATGTGGCTTCTTGTGTCCTGCAAAGACATCGCTGACATCAGTGACACTGGCCCATATGGAGTGGGCTGCCTGCCTGGACAGGGCGGTCCTGTCCATGATGGCTGGGGTGAGACCAGGAAATAAGTGGGGAAGGGGGTCTCACAGGAGCTTGGCACCAGAGCCCGTGCTGTGAGCAGGTCTCCTGCATCTGAGGCTCTGCTGCAGAGACATGGCACTGGGCAGAGTACTGCCATGGGATCATCACCTGCAGAAGGTCCTGGGCACTTCTGCCCTCCCAGCACCCTGGCAGCCAGCACTAGAGCTGGGTGAGCCTGCTGGCACCCTGGGATGGAATATCTTGGCAAGCACATGGCATAAGCTGGGGAAGTCCTCTAGACCAAGGCGGCCAGCACACAAATGGGGAACAATAGTGTGGAACATTCACTCCAGCAGAGCTGATGGGGTTGGGGCAGACTGACACTTCTGCCCCCCCCTCCCTTTGGTCCCCAGCTCAGCATGGCTCCTGTCTGCAGATGGGGTGGTAGTGACACCGTGGCAGGACAGGACCTTGGCATTGAACAGGGTGGGGTCGCAGAAGCCACAAAAGGCATGGCAGGACATGCTGTGCCCCTCCCAGGAATCTGGGGAGAAGTAGGTTGTCATAGCTCCCCACGCCCCACACTGGGGACGCAGTGGCTCCTTCCACCCTGGGGCTCCCCCTCCCAAAATAAAGACCCCAAAAATGGCAAGTGGCAGCAAGAGACATGTTTGGGAGAGCCAGCCCCCACACTGCCCCTGTCATGGCTCCCCCACTGCTACTCAAAAGACAGTAAGTCAGGGTGGGTCCCTTCCACCTCCCAGCCAGGGGTACGTGGCTCTGGCCTCCCCGTGCTCCCTGGTGGCTCATGCTCCAGCCTTGGTTTCTGTGAGGGCTTCTCTGTGGGGGGTGACATCTCAGTGGCCCTCTCACCCACTCGCCACTGGCTCTCCTGGTTGCCCTTATGGATGAGGTCAGGCACGGGTAGGGCACCAGTAGGCTGGTTCCCGCTGGGCTCTGGGGTGCTTGTCATGCTGGGTGCCCCAGGGCATTCTGGAGGGGATGGGTCTCCCGTATCCAGCTGCTCCTCTGCAAGGTCAGGGTGGGCTGTGGGTGGTTCTGGAGGCTCCTCTGTGCCAATCCTTGTACTGGTCTCCTCTGGCTGTGGAGCAATGAGCATGTCCTGCGGGGTCTTCAGGGCACGTGGTGTCCGCTTCTTGGTGATGGGGGGTGGGGGGTCCAGCCGGGGAAAGGCATCCAGCTCCACAGCCCTGCAAGCACAGAGGGAAAGTCACATACAGCCCCATGCTGAGGCCTCTCCAGCCTGTCCCAGTGGCCCCGCCATGGGGTGCACAATGCAGGACACTCACCCGTCCTCGACAGCCAGCTGTGCTGTGCCCAGCATGGCACCCACGCCGGCGTTTGCCTCCATCGCTCCCACGCTGGGGAGGCCGGCGGGCTCCTTTCGGCGCAGGAGGTCGTTCACCTTGGCCCCCATGGCCTTGCCCAGGTTGCGGAGGTGTTGGCTGCTGGCGGGGCGGGAGGGCTGTGGCAGAGTGCCCGCCGAGGAAGGGACGTGCTGCAGCCGCGGGGTGGGTGCCGTGCTGGCGCTGGTGTTCTCAAACATGCTCTGGTCCACTGGAGGAGGAAGGGAACAGAGATGGGATGTGAGCCAGGCTGGAAGGGCGATCCCAGCAAGGACAGCTGGCCTGAAGCTGCCTGCCAGCAGCATGGGAATGCAATCTTGGGGTCAGGGAGGCTGCTCCTTCAGCCTCGCAGAGGCTGTGGGCAGCCAGGCCATGCCAGGGCTGCATGCATGGGGGACAGCATGGGGCAAGACAGGGTAGCAGTGAGCCCAGGGCTCCAGGCTGGCACTGCCAACACACCGAGAGCTTCTCTTACCTGACACCAAACGACTTGGAAAGCAGGTTGAGGAAAGAAAGAGAGAGAGAGCATTTACCAAGGGAATGGCAAGGGGAAGGCCTGTCCCTTCCACACTGCCAGGTGGGGTGTGCTGCCAACCCTCTGCCTGGACCTACCACGCTACCTTGTGGAGATGGGACTCATGTGGTGTCATGTCACTCAGGCCCTGGCAAAGCTGCAGGGGCTGCAGTGGGGGCACCCACAGCCTGGGCTCTGCACTGGCCACCCCACCAAGGCTCCCTCAGCCCAGCCCAGACTAGGTCTGTGTGGTGGGTGGCAGTCGGTACTTTCTGGGGACCCAGTGGGTTTCTGCAGTCACACCCCACCTCTGAGCTACACTGGTTTCTCCCCCATGTCTTCTCAGCAGGACTCCTTGAAGCAGTGGGTGCTGCCCCCAGGAGTGCCAGCTTGGACCCCCCATGGCTGCCCCCATGCCAGTGTGGCTCTCCATGTGATGGCTCCAGCCAGCTGCTGGGTAAGCCTGGTGCTGCCAGGGCCTCAGTGCCCACCAGCATCCTGTGCCCAACTCCACCTCTGCATCCCAGGGGCATGTACTGGGACAGAGCCAACCACCTTCGCATCCCATGAAGACAGACACAGAGGAAGGGTTCCCAGCACTGCTTCCAACTCCGTGGAGGCCAGACTCTTACAGGAACCCCCGACTCACTGCAGGCCCTTTCCTCTGCAGTCTGTGGCCCCACAGTCCTGCTGAACAGCAAGCTCCCTGTCTGCACCCACAGCATCTACCAGTCCTGGAGTTCATCTTACAGCTACTTCATTGCACCAAAGAAGCAACACAGCAGTGCCTGAGTAGCCTCTCCTCCAGCCTGGACACCAGCCCCCAGAAGCGTGAGCAGCCTGACAACCTCTTGTAGAGCATCTGCTCCTTCTCTGACTCCTCGGATGACCCCTAGGCCCCTGAGAGGGACAGGCTGGCCAGCAGCAGAGCCAGCATCATGGTCCAGGACATCCTCACCACTTCCCAGCGGCAGACAGTGCTCCAGTGTGGCTACCAGTGCATGTTGTGTTGCCGCATCTTCCCCACATTGTGGTTGGTCAAGACCCAGATCCAGCACAGCTCCCAGGAGGGCTACAGCTGCAACGGGTTCTACTGCAGGCTCAATGCCCTGGGGAAGCAGGAGCTCAAGGCTCAGGAGGCTGCAGCCTCCAGGCTGTCCATGTAGCCCCACCAGCCAAGCAGCCACCACGGGAGGGCACTGCTCCATCGCTCCTGCCAGCGGCAGAATAAATTCTTTTAGGATCAGCCAGCCCTGCCTCTGTGCTGCTCTTCCTACGCAACACTGCCATCCTTTGAGAGGCTCTTCCCTACTTTTCCTTCCCCAGCAGACAAAAATCTCCTGAGCTCCTAAAAGTGCTGCTTAGCATTTCTGCACCTCTGTGGGGAGCTCTGCAGATGTCAGGAACCCACTGGCACCATCAAGCTGTTGGGTCAGCCCTAAGACAAGCTTGCGCTGTGCAGTGGCTGAAGGGGAAGACTGAAACCCTTCTACTCCCAGAGGTATTCAGAGCACCTTACTCTCATGGGTAGCCTGTGGCTGGCACCACAACAGGGGTCCCACAGGGGAGTAGGCTTAGATTGGAGGGGGTCTGTGCAAGGCCAGAGGATGTCGCTGCTGGTGCTGGCAACCAGCATGGAGGGGGAAGGAAGTACAGAAAGAGAGAGAGTCAGTGAGAAGAAAGAGACAACAGAAAGCCTTGAGAAATAGAAAGATTTATTTAGCAAAAGCCAGTTGACTAATGACAACACCCAAGGGTTAAGTGCACTTACATTGACAGATTGGTTTCCCAGATAGAGTCAACAGTTAGTAATATGACAGTTGTAGGAAAAGAAAGGACAAAAAATATAGCTATAAATCCCCTGTCAAGGTCCATAATAAAAGTGAGAGGCTAGAGAGGCGTCTTGGAGGCAGTGCTGACTTAGGAGGAGGGTCCTTTATACATATACACCTGTGGTGTGGCATGGTGCTGGAAGGTCCCACCTGGCTCCGGCATCACCCCATCAGCCTGCGGGGCACCTGCCACTGTCCCCTGCGGGCAGAGTGCCAGGCAGGAGCCCAAACCCACAGCTGGTCCTGAAGCTCCTCAAGGGACACTGCCTGTGTGTGTGGAGCAGGAATGGACCAGAGCGGTGTCTCAGGAGATGGCTCCTCCCTGCCTGCTTTCTGAGGCAGCCCAGCCTGGAAGAGACCTCTGTCCTACTGCTGCTCCTCCCAGGCTCTCCTTTCATCTGCCCTGTGTGTACAGCTGAGCTCCTGCTGTCCCCTCTGCTGAACAATCTGTCTGCCCACGTGGAAATCCCTCTCCAAGCTCACCCATGCATCTCTACCCTGTCTGCGCCATGTCCTGTGTGTGCTGCCATACCCACTTCTTCCTCCTAGCTGGACCAGCCTCCCACCCCATGCGTTCACCTCCAACTGCTGCAAGCTGGCAGTGGGATGCTGGGGTTCCCAGCAGAGGGGCTAGCACACTGCTGTGCCCACAGCGGTATGGGACAGGGCACATGGAGGCAGTAGTGGCCAGACAACAGGAGCACCCACGTACCAAACAACACCCTCTCCCACTCTGCCCCCTCTGTGGCTGGTGCAGGGGCTCCCCTGGACACTAGGGCACTGCTGGGGACACTAAAACATGTCCTTCCTTCCTTTCCACTGGGACTCTCTAGCTCCTCACATCATCCAGCCCTGTCTCGTGGCAGAGGGTACATAGCACAACTCATACTGACCCCGGGGGTCTCATCTACACCTCACTCCTCAGCAGCCCTCAGTCCCAAGGGGACCCGGGCAGAAAGAAGTGATGGACCTTCCTCAGCAGCCAGGCTAAGCCCTGGAGGAGAGCAAGAGCTGGTGTCAGCCAGGGGTTAGTTGCAGGCAGAACGAGCAGAGACAGAGCTGGCAAAGGCGAGAGCAGCAGGGAAGCAACAAAGCAAAGCAGAAGCAGGATAGGAGGGAGGATGGGGAGAAAGACAACTGTGCCAATCCCCACCTCATTGAGTGCTTCCACAGGGAGCAGGGCGGACATCAGGACTCTGGTTCATACCCCTTCAGTCATGGCCTCTTAGAGGCTGTAGCACCAGGCAGGTGATAAAAGTGCTTGCAGAAAAGAAACAAGCTCTGGGTCCCTTGGAGGCCCCCACAGATGGCTCTCAGCCAAGAGCATCCTGGGGGCTGGTGGGGGATCCTGAGATCTTGGATTCACTTTTCTGGAGGGTGTAAACCATAGATGTGACAGAGCCCCTCTGCAGACACCAGCAGTTCACTCCCCACTGAGGGGTGAAAGTGTGCTCATCCCTGCAGATACCAATGCCAGCACTGCAGGCCCCAGCCCTGGTCTGGAGGAAGACAACTGCTTGGAAATGGGAAGGTTTGTCTATAAAGCAAAGCAAGGAGTTTGTGGTGATGGGGGTGCAAGGAAGTGCTTGAAAAAGTGGCTTGAGAGCACCAAAAAGGCTTTGAAACCTGCCAGGTGTGCCAAAGAGCCAAAGGACTAGATGATGGCGGGGAGGACACTCTATAGCCCAGTGCTGCATTCCTGGCTCCCTGCTCCACACTGAGCTGTGCCACCTTCTCTGCCCCACAGTCTGGGAAAGGAGTGGCTGTGCCTGCATGCCCTCCATCTGCCTCAGGCAGGGACAAACTCTGTCCTGGAAGTGCCACATCACCCTGCAGGAACTGTCTGCACCTGGCCAGCCTGCGCAACCTCATCTTACCCCATCAACTCCTTTCCAGGCTCGTCCCCACTGTCCCTCTACGCCTCATCTCTCACTCACAGACCCACTACAACAGTGCACTGTCACCAACCCTAACGTAGCATGACCCTATCCTTGTCTTCCACCCTATCCACAATACAGAGAGCCAGACCACCTCTGTCCTTGCTCACCACCCCAGCATTCCCCCCTTGGTCCCTCTTGTCCCTGCTCCTTGCCCTGCATCTCCTCTCTTGTTCCCTCCGAAAAATCCTTCCTCTCCTTTACTGCTTCCCCGGCAGCAGGAGGGGCTAATCCAGCAGGGAGTCCCCTTGCTTCTGCCTCACCTGGACACACAGTTTGGGGGGGGGGAGTGGGAGCCAGGGGGGAGCACAAGGAGCTGTCAGCTCACTGTCAGCTGAGAAGCAGGGATGCTCCAGCTCAGCACACAAGCCCATGCACGCTGAAGCACAACACACCCAGCACACTCCCTCGGCATGACTCCACCTAACCCCTGCACATCTCCTGACTGGGCGCTGGAAGCCTCACACTCTCCCCTCCAACCCCGCTCCCTCTGGGCTGTCCCATCCCTGCCAGGGCCACTGGGCTATGGCCAGGGTCTGTCCCAGCTCTGGCAGGTCCTGGCTGCTCCGCACCACCTCCTGCTGACCCCCCTACACCGCGATCTCGTCCTCCAGGCTGTCACCCAGGTCCTGCCTGGGCTGGACGTGGAGCAGGCGTGGTGGTTCCTCCTGGGACCAGGAGTCACGCTCCTCGCTCTCGTCCGTGTTGGACTCATACTCGGAGGCGATGCCCGACTCGCGGAACTTGATGAGCTCCAGGCTGCCCAGCGGTGGCTCTGGGGCAGGTGGCCCCGAGTCCGGCAGAAAGCGGTAGCACTCCAGCTTCACCAGACAGTCGTTCCTACCTATGGGACTGCCCAGGGTGCTGGGGAAAGCTGAGCTGGGGCCCAGCGGCGGCGAGTGGGTGTCCTCGGGCTGCGGGGTGATCGGGTCGCAGAGGACAGGGAGGACGTTGGAGCGGAAGGTGATCTCCAGCAGACTGTCCTGGGAGCCTGCTGCAAGAGAAGGGCATGGCTGAGAGGCCTAGCTTGCCTGGGCGTCCCCTGGCTACCATGGCTGGCTGCACACTGCCCAGGAGGACAGGCTGGGGCCACTTGGCTACCAACCTCCCTACTGCCACTGTTGAGAGGGGCTTATTTGGTGTTACTGCTGCTGACCAACAAAGAGCCAGTTCTGCAGGACAAAACATTAACTGCCTCCTACCCCAGCTCCTGCAGGGAGCTGATGGCCACATCTGCTGGAGAGGAAGGTCAAGAAGGGGCTCTTGGGCAGGTATGGAGCTGGCCTAGAGCATGCAGCCACTGGGGAAAGCAGACATACAGCTGATGGAGGTAGGTAAGTACCTGTCCATACAGCCCTCCCCAAGCCCCATCCCACACGGCATGCAAGCACCCTGCTGCACATGCACAAGCCTGGCCAGAAGGGCACAAATATCCCTCTAAACAAAATAAATGGAAACACACAAAAAAACCCAACAGAAACACCCATGTGCATGTGCCTCACAGCCCTTGCTAGAAGTGAGGGGAGAAGAAGTGACGGGAGCGCTTACTCGTCGTGTTCCCTGCCAGCTTCAGCTCCAGCTCCTGCACCTGTTTAACCAGGAGCGAGATGTGCTGCAGCAAGTCCTTGTTCTGGAGCAGGAGCTGGTGCACTCGAGCCTGGGCCTCCAGCCGTGCCGCCGCCTCTGCTGCCAGCTGGTCCTTCAGCAGGTGCACCTGTGGGACAGCCGAGAAGGGGTGAGCGTGGGGAGACGCTGCTCAAGGGTTGAGGGCTTCGACTCTGGCCACCACCACTCATCTACCAGGGCTCACCAGCATCCCACCTAATGGTGTGATGAGGCAGCCACTCCTTGCAGGTACAGCAGACGTGATGGGGAGCATGCGGGCAGGTGGCAGTGTAACACCAGAGCACACTCAGCACATGGTCCCCTGGCCTCTCTGATGGCAAAGCTCAAGGCAAAGGGGGCCGGCACTGACCAAACTATCAGTCACAGGGGCAAGGGGTGCAATAATTTACACTCTGAGCAGGCACCACAGAGCCCTTTTGGATTGCAGGCAACACTGTACTTGGGCAGATATAAAGGATCCCCCAAGGATGAAGGTCTTTCTTCCAGAGGGGAAAGCAACTTTGCAGCCTGTGACCCCAGAAGTCACATGGGCTCTGGGGCAGCAGCTCAGGCAGAAGCACAAACACTGATTTACTGATGCGAGAGGAGGAAAGCCATGGGACAGCACAAAAAGGCTGCTGGAGCCCATTGCTCGGGCCAGGTCAGGAAGAAAGTTGAGCAGTTGTGAAGAGCTCTGCAAGGGGTCAGTGAACAAGTAAAGCTCAGGTAATGAGTTGGATAAAGCAGCCAGAGCTGCTTAAATGAGGAATAGCTGCATGGAGAGTAAGCTGCCAGACACACAGCTCAGGCAGCAGTTATTCAGGGTGAACACTGAGGCCAGGTACTGGCAAGCAGACAGGGGCTGAAAGCCCAAGAAACCTGGTGGCATGCAGACCTAAGCACCTCATCTTTCCTGATGGGGCCAGGGCAAATTGCCACTCCTCTCCCCTTGCTGCACGTCCTATCCTCTGAGTCACAGTTTCTCCCACAGTTGCCACCTGAACATTTCTGCCTGGAGCTCCCCACAGAGCAGCCTGCCTTCAACACTGCCTCCAGGTGCCACTCCCCTTGGTGGCACCAAGGGGTTCAGTGTGCCCCAGCCCTGTTGCCGCCCCAGGAAAGAGTGGAGGGGAGAACCTGTGCCACAGCCACTTGTGTCTGCTGCTGCTGCTGCTGCAGGAGCTGCTGGAGAAG